TTTGGCTGTTAAAGACACATCCAGAAAGGAAACAAGAGACTGTCTTGGAGTGTAAGAAAGTAAAGTAACAGGAAAAAATATTGCCAATAAAATAAGAAAGGAAAATCTTGATGTGGAAGACATTGCCGCCGGGTGACAGACCGATATAAGATTAAAGATTTTGGACGGGGAGGTGCCAGAGCTCGTAATTATCTCTCTATCAGGCGGCACCCAGCTGCAGCCCGGCTCCCAAACAAGCCGTATCCTGCAAGAGACTTGAAGAGAGTAGCTAGCTAGCTAGCGAGGGAGTCGTCTTGGTCGTCTCGTCTGGGGGTGCGTGTGTGTCGCCTGCCTGCGATCCCCCGTGAGTGAGAAGGAGATATGGTTGGGTGTGAGCGGAGAGGAGAGTGTGGACTGAGAGATTGGGGGTTGTCTTGTCAGGCTTGTCTACTTGCTTGCTTGCCTGGCTTGCTTGGGACATAGGTGCTAATTAAGAAAGGTTTTTGAAAGCAGATGATACCTCAAATTGATTTGAAGAAGAAGAAAAAGTTTTTACAAGAATAATAATCATTTTAACAATGCAGAACCTTCAATACAGAACTGATTGGTACATGTTGCATACAAAAGCTACTTCATAAGGAAATACATCAGAATCTTTTTTCTCTAAATGAAGAACAATTTATATCCTGTGGTAAACCACAATTAAACAAATTTACTCTTTGACTTTCTATATTGCAGTCCTTTTATCATATCATATTGGCAGGAAAATCTGTGAAATAATTTGGTCTCAGTATTTTAAAATCAACTTCATTACCATTCAGTCAGTATATTTATATTCAAACACTCCCACAATAGTTAATGTTTTATGTACCTTTTTATACCTGATCTTCTAAGTTCAGCAATAGTTTAGAACAATGATAATACATCCCTGGAACCTTAATACCCTTCTTTTTCCCTATCTCATAATTCTTAATTGTTACAAATGGACTTGTTTCATTGTCATGAAACATTTTTCTTTTTTTCACTACTGACATCCACTGTACCATTAATCTTGTAAAATCTAGCCAATTGAATTGAATATAATAATTGCTGCTAAACATTATCTTCTTAATGACTGAAGTAACTTCCTTTGTTTTGATTATTATTGAACTACTATGTCAATGTACATTTTATAGCCTTGTTTCATGTTTTCTTGTATTTTACTGTAAATATGACAATATTAGTCTCCAGAATTTTGCCATGTTCTATTTTTTTAATACAATAAAAACAAAATTGTATTGAATTGATTTGATAAATATTCTTTGAAGCAGCAGCAATGTAACAAGCATATTCTATATTTAATCATTTAATACGAAGGCCAGGAAACGGAAGGGAGCTTACACTGACAAGCACCCTTTCTCATGTATCTTTCCAAAACATAACGATCCTGGCCTTCTTTATTGTTCAAGTCAACGCCTGTACCTGATTGGTGGGTTTGCTTGGCCAATTGGATCCAATTATATCTATGTCACCAACCATGAACCCATTTTGAGAATTAGAGGAGACTACTTCGTTTAATAATTTTTGAAATAATTTTTGAATAAGAAGAATATTTAGCTTTTGTTCGTTTTTGTAAACCAGTCCAACAGTTTTCTGTAGATATTTTGATGATTACCGGTATTGAAACACAAAACTGCAATGACTGAGTTTAAATAGAATTTGTGGCTTCAAATGTTTAAAGTCATTTTAGTGGTATTTTATTCTTTTCCATATTTTCTACATATCTGTGAATAATGAAATAGCTTTTTTATTTTCTATTTCATTGTAAAAAATGATTTAATGATAAGACCCCTATGATCAAGATTCATTAAACATCTTATCAATATTATTTCTTCTGTCGGCTCATTTGTTTCTGCTGTCGATTCATACAGTGTAGCTAAACAACATATATCTCTAATACAACTGTATTTATTCATAATCATCAAATTTCATCAACCTCCTAAGTTACTCCCACCCAGTTCATATAATCCAGCAATCCTATCTTGACAATCTTCACCAAACGTAACAACTTCTCAAATTTTGACGTCAGAAAGACGATTGCCCCACCACTGCACCTCCCCATCCAATCTCTACATATCACCCTTTACCCGTCAAATGCCATACTTGTATTTTTAATTGGGCACGCCAAGATCACTTTGTAATCACCCCGCTCAGAGCCCCTACAAGATAGAAATACCAAGGGGACATACAGGAAGATATGTCATATAGTTTCTCTTCTCAAGAACAAAAAAAAAAAAGAAAAGGGATAAAGGAGAAAGAGAGAGACTTGAAATGCCAGGCAGATTTGCGTCTCCAAACTCAATAATTACCTACTATGTTATACTTCTGACCCCACTTGCTTATATACTTTAATCACGATTGGAGACAGTGTGGGGATATCATTTGTAAATGGACTACTTTTCTCATTTCTTTAATGAAACATCGAAAGTGACTTTGTTCAGTTTTGTTTGTTTAAAAAACTTTCATTTTTTTGTAAATGGTTTTTGAGATTTCTAGTTAAAAATCATGTTCTGATTAGCCTGTCTTTCAGACAGAATTATATTCATTTCCTCTTTCTTTCAAAAATATGAATGATTATTAAATGTACAACATGTTTCATTGAACACAACAATATTATTTGTTAGAGATTTCTAATTTCATATGAATTATAAAACAAGAGATGTATTAAATGTATTGATAATGAATAGATTGATGATTTATGTTTATCAAAAGAATAATTAAAAAGAAAATGAGTATTATGACTAATGTATAAATATTTTAACCACATCCTGTACTATTGAAAGAGTAATACAAAACTTAAAGATTATTATTAAGTTGTTAATACAGCATGAAAATACTTCTGTAATCGTCTGTTTCTATTCAATGCAAGGTAGCATTTCCTTTTGCTAGTTATGGAGAGAGAAAAAAAACCCAAACAATTATGACATGTTATGTGAAACAAAAGTGAGTGTAAGAAAAGTAATTAACAGGTAATGAAAACTGATTATGATGATACTTGAGTTCTCCAATGGAAAATTCATTTTAAAATCATTAGGCTTTTACATCTTAACTTCTTTTATAGTACATCTTTCTCCCAAAAAAAGGAAAAAGAGGGGAAATAAATAAAAGAAGAAAGAATGGATATACAGAGCTAATTGATCCCAGTCAATCAAATTATAAATGAACAACAAATGATATCTATTTCTGTCATCTTTTAATACAGTTACAGCCAGGAAGAGTGAACAATATTTAATTAGAAAGATCTGTATATAATTATGCTCCCTTAAAAGCCTCTTATAGTGAGCGGCCCCAACGGATCTCATTCATACTACATATGTTCACAAGTTTACAGGTTTTCATAGTTTGATATCAAAGGTATCAACCCTGCATTACCTGAATTTTTTGAATTAAATACCAAAAACAAATGTTATAAAGCGTCTAATTAATTTTGTGATATAGGTATATTTATTTGTTTTTCTCTGTAATCATTATAGCTTTGTCTTTTATGTAAGTATTATTCAATTAATAAATGATGGAAGAAAAAAATGTTCAATACAGTGCTAGTGAGAGTTTAAAAAAAAAAGTTGCCTAAATATAGCATCAAGTTTGCAGACTTGAAGTAATTATATCAAAATGAGTCATGTTTGTAAATAAAAGGTCAAGAGAGATGAAGAATTATGGGCTGTCACAGCATATTGGCAATCCTTGGAAACATCACTTATAAGCCCAAGCATCTCTCTTGCTCTCTCTCACTCTCTCACATCTTTATCAGCCCACGCCCGTGTATGCTCATAATTTTTCTATTAAGCATCAAGAAATAGTACCAGTCCAGTCATATCTTATTGTGGGGATTACATTATGATCACACAATTGATAGAGTGTACTTCAGTCAAATTTTATAGGCCTACCAGGAATAGGATTGTGTGCTGAATTTATCTTTACATTTTCCTATTAAATCTCTTTTTTTATTACTGAATTTGCACTGAGTTAGACTCATTTATTTATATGCCTTTATTTTTAGTTGGTGTCTATTTCAGATTGAATAATTGTTTTTTATCTTGGCTTTAATTCATGTTTTTCTTTTACACTTTGATAATTTATGAGTGTGTGAGACAGAACTGCTATAGAATGTGAAATCAGTTACATGCTGTTTGCTTAATTTTGTTTAATTGACAGAAATGTTTCAATGAAATTAATTACTGATAGTGTATTCCATATCATTGATTTGAACACAATCATGTAGATGAGTTTTTTAGGTTTGTAATTGGTAAAGCATAATATAATTATGATTGCAATTTTTCTTACCTTCCCTTCCTCATTGATACCCAAGTCTTTAAAAGAAAATATTTGCTTAAAAAAAAATAAGAGTACCTCGTAAAAGGTGATTAAGAAATCTCAGTTGTTCCATTACTGCTATTGATTGATGCTTTCCTGATAGTTCATTTATTTTATCTGTACACAAATAGTTTTATTAGAAATAGACAAAATATGACATAATTCAATTAAATTAAACTGTACTGCAACTACTTATGGTTTATGAAAAAGTCTAACACAGAATTTTATTACCCAGATTATTTCAAATTTATATAACTCTGACATCAGCTTTGAAGTAGGTACAACCTAAATTTACCCATATTGCATTTTATCAATCCATAGGAGATTATTAATTTGAAAGATGCTTGTAACCTTTTCTCTCAAGAAAAAGGAGAACTTGTTTGACTTCATTAAATGACACCTAAAAGGAAAAAAACAAAGGAGAAAAGAAGTAATGAGGGATTTAAGAAACCCCCAAATTGTCCGAAGGCCAGAACTATCTGAAATAGCTTCCTGTCCTTTGGCGCCAAGACAAGAAAAAAAAATTGAATATAGAATCATCCGTAATATCCCTTTCATTAACCAGCTGTCTAAACTGAAAATAATTCCTACTTCATACCATCCCCTCTGCGGTGATCGCCCATTTTCTAACCCCTTTTTCCCTTCTTCTTCCTTTTCTTTCCGCACAGGGGAACATCCTGGGGTGGAGTTTGCTCCTCAGCCTGTAGATACAGCGCGGGAGAGAGACAGTCACGCTGGAGCCGGGAGTTTCCTCCGCTTTTTCCGCCACGCACCCATTAGTGAGTGTCAGTTATTAATCGTGACGGCGCTCGTTTACTTTGACTCATAACCAATCCTGTTTTAATGAGGATTCTGGAGTCAGAATCAACTTGAAGCAGAATAGAGATAGAAAAAAAAAGCAATGTTTGATTTATCTCCAGTTTATTTGAGAAATTCTCGTGGTCATTGATCTTGTGTCTTCATTGGTTTTCGTGTCTCCTTTTTTTGTTTCTCCCCCACTTTTGTGGGTCATAAGGATTTCTTGCTAGTAGACAATTTTAATTATCCTTCATGTATTTTAGTTATTGACTCTGGTTATATTTCCTTTCACTGGCTACATGTCTGCTATCTTGTTCTCTCCTTAAGTGGCCTTCTTTTCAGAGATATTGGTTCTTGCGCATTTCTTTCAAGAGCCTCCCCATTTATTTTTCTATTTAAAGCCTATATATTTGATTTGAATCAGTTTCAATCTTTGATGACTTACGCTTCCTGTGTTCGTTTGTGCTTTTATTTGGGATTGATTGGTTTCAGGTAGAAGCTGTATTCATTTCTGCCCGTCACTTCAGGTTTTCATTCCATTGTTTTATTCCCCCAGTTCATGAGAATCTCTGCCTTTGTCAGGAGGGAGGCCTGTCCTCATCAGCTCAAGTTTGCCAAATAACCCGCTATTTTAACTATCCCGATCACAAATAAACCAGTTAATGTGCGTCCTCGTCAGCCTGCAGTTGCGATTAGTGGGATATTTGATCGAGAAAATATCAGAGAAATCTGAGTTTTGTTTCCAAAAAACCCTGCCATTTGTGAAATAGCGGGCTAATTTGGGTCTGTCCGAGCTAGTTTGTGATGGGCTTATCGGTCTGGTGAGGGCGCAATTTTGAGCTCGGGATAATATCGCGAGTCTGAAAATAGGGGGTTATTTGGCAAACTGGAGCTGATGAGGACAGGCCTAGGGCTACATCAAAGAGCCACATCAAACCCCCATAAGCTTGGCAGAGCATGAAGTGATTAATAAAGGTTTCACGTACATGGCAAGTAAGTAATCTGTTGTGGGACCCTTCTGTGAAAGATGGAACGCCTTTTGGAGCCACGTTGTCTAGCAATTTCATGCCGATGAAAAATCACAGGAAACAGCTTGCCAAAAGGTAGTGAGCTTTTCTCTTTCTCTTCCTCCCCCATCTCTCTGTTCTCTGTCACTCAGTGTCTTCCTCTCTCTTTCTCTCTCTCTCTCTCTCTCTCTCTCTCTCTCTCTCTCCCTCCCTCTCTCTTGACGTCCCCCTTCAATCTCTCCCCCTCTCTCCCTCCCCCTCTCTCTCTCCCCCCTCTCTCTAACTCTTTTGTTTGATCCTATATCCTTTTCACTTTCTGTCTCACCCACCTAGTTATTATTTTTATATTCGTTTTTGTATTTGCATCGTTTAACTCAGATGCCATGCTTGTTTTTTCTTCACTTTCTGAGTACATCCTGTTTTTCATTTCTTATCTATTAGAACAATTTGTTTTATAATAAGGCTCACACCTTGCATCAATTTGCTAGTTGTAGCTAGGTTCCAAATGGCTAATTGGTTGAAATGATTCACTTTTTGTCACAAAAAAGAGGGGTCTTATAATTCATCCTGTACCTTTGACTTCTTACTGATATCACTCCTATGTTTGTCTGTCTGCCTCTGTCTGTCTGTCTCTCTCTCTCTCTCTCTCTCTCCCCATGTGTGTGTATGGTATGTGTGTTTGTTCCTCTCTCCCCTGTCTCTCTCCCTCTTCCTACCTCTTTCTTTCTTTCTCTTTCTCTCTCTCTTTCTCAATACATTGAAATAAGTTCCATTCCCAATTCCATGCATATTTTGCTTTGTCTATTTTTGAAATTTTTCCTTTCTTCTTGCCTTTTTTTTCTTTTTTTTTCTTTTTCTCTTTCTAACTCTTTTCTCTTCTCCATCTTGATAAATTCATTTCTATAAAGAAAGGAAGATTGATCACTATCATTCAAAGTGTTGTCCTGTGATGAGTCAATACTTCAATACTTAAGTCTGCCAAAACTGATAAAATTAAGACAGATTAATGCTGATCTGTGCTCAAGCTTTCACCTTTAAAAAAACATACTTCCTTAAACATAGACTTTTTGTAATTACAAATCACTATCATACTAACATTTAAACATTTAGGTTCTTAGTTATGCCATTCTGGAATTCTTTATTCTCTTTTATTTACTGAGATTTCTTAGATTATAAATGAAAAATATTTTGTTGATTACAGACAAATGACTTGTATGGTAAGAACCATATTTAATGGCAGCTCTCAATCTTTCATAATGATAAATGAGAATTCAAACATTTTATTTCCCTCAAATATTTCATTTGTTTTCACCATAAATGAATAATCAAATCATGCAAATAACAAACTTTGAAGAATTGGTCCAGCAATATCAGCTGTATCACTTTCGGCATTTCCATTTTTAACAATTCACAAAGTATACAAAATTGTAATATTTCGGCACAGTCATCATCATTAATAAAAGGTGAAAGTGAAAGAAAGAGAGGGGGGGGGAGATAGGGAGAGAACATTTTCATATCATGGATTGACCTAGTAAAGCGAGGCTCAAGCCAACACCTCAATTATTAATAGCATGGAAGAGGAAATATCATTGATTAAAACAACATGGAGGGATTAGTCGAAACGCAGCAGTTCTGGCATTTCCACGATTGACTCATCAATGCATGGCAGTGTTCTAAAAGGTTAGTATTAGGGTGAAATATAGAAATAGGAATTAGACAACAAACGATATTAGTAATAACTCCCCATTATGTACTAATCAGTACTGAATATGATGTTAATGTCAGTAGCAAACAATAGTCCTTTGTGTTGAATTAATTTGTTAGATCAGTGCCTATAATTTATAAATTATTTTCTTTTTATTTTCCTCTTTTTTCCTTCTTGGACTTGTGTTTGAATTTTTGATTGTTTCTGAGGCATACGTCAGGAGATGAGTGTTCCAATTAAAAGAATAAAAACTATTGTAATTGTGCTCCTGTAATGTATACTTTTTTTGTCTCAAAAAAAATATTGCATTATCTTCTTTTGTCTCTTCCTTCATGTCCAAGCAACATTAAAATTAACCATAACTACAACTTTAACTGCGAAGATATTAACTTAAGAAAGACAGTGTCATAGTCTTATCCAATAGCAAGAGTGCATGTTAGCAAATGATATGTAATTGGGAAAATTGAGGTAGAAGTTTATGATATTTGTATGTGATTATTTAGCAGAAAATGTTGGAAATCAAGGTGGTAGTTCTGTCCAGTGGTATACATTATCCAATATGTATATATTATCTGTTGAGAGCCAGAAGGGCATTAGTTCTGTGCAAAGTGAGATGCATTAATGCCCTTTTGGATCTAAGATGAAATGTTTGTTGTGCTTTCAGTAAATGGAACCCTTAGTTTTTCTTCTATACATTTTGCTTGTCAAAAAGACAAAAATCCTTCTACATGAAAGGCAATTCAGAGTTGTTTCCTTTTAAAATGCAATTCACTTAACAGAACTTAATATTAACTTATTTAAGAAGTAAGGGATAAAAAGGTGATGTAAAGCCAATAATATCATTTGTTGAAAGCCAAAAGGATGTTAACTTTATGTTAATGCCCTCTCAGCGGATGATATGTTTTACTTGCTGAGTTCTTCTTGACCTTAAATGATTGCTCCTGATGGTGTGACTAATGACAGTTAGATTCAGATAAGCTAACCACATTTTTATCACTCTTCTCCAAATTTATCTGAGTAATGATCGGAGCTGTTGATCAGCTAATTAAATCTGTTTTCACACCTTAAGTCGCGATAGCTGGGTCACATGACTAATTGTTCCTTTTTAATCACCTTCCTTTTTCTTTTTTCCCCTTTTTTTTGAAGGGGGGGGGGGGGTTCTTTTCTTATTTATTGATTAAGCGATATAATTTGACCAGAATGGCATTGTGAGCTGATTTCCTCCCAAATTTCTTTGTGGTTTGCGTGAAGGTTTGCCTTGCCTCGCATTGAGTTAGACATCACTGCTGCCAGCAGACAGAGATGAAGGAACCTTGTATATAACAAGTGTTAGTAACCTCATTGACCCTTTTGAAAAGTGATTACAAAGTAATTTAAAGACTAATGCATAGAGACAACCTCATTTTGTAGCACTGTTAAATTCAACAAACGGTGTTGACTCACTGATCAAGAGTTTGTTTTGTTATGCCAAAAAATTAAGAGAGTATAAAAAAGTGTACATCATATATTAGTGATATGTGATTGGTGATTTGTTCTTCATGAAGTCCCTTTTAGATGCAGGCTACTAATCCCTACTACAACAAGAATCTGAATTTTATTTTAATTTTTATTTCTAACACTTCTAACTCTCATGTTTGGTGGTCCACAAATACAAAATCATTATGTTCTACTTTCCAGACATGTATCAAACAGAAAAATATTATGTTTAGAAATTAAAGAAAAGTTATCGGAAAAGCAGGACACTTTACAAAGTATCTTTAGTTTTGTAATGCAATTATAAATAAAACATATAGACATCATTCATGATCTTCTTTATTCTGTCATTTGACCAGATTTCCTGTTTCTGTGCCAGGTTTCGTTGGTGTCAGCATCGACTCTCGTCACCTTTCATGAGGCACTCCTAGATTAGTCTCTAAGATTCCTTTTCCTTATCTGAAATGTTCCAGAATAAAGATGGAACTCGGGGTAGGAATAAGACATGAAAAGCAGGAAGAAAAGTGAGTAATCGACTCGCTCACCTAGCGCATTAAACATCAGTTCCAACTCGTCTCAATTTCCTGTGATGTGTTCTGTATGTTTCCGCATACATACAGGCCGCTATTAAAGAAAGAGACAGGGACGGGAACGTAAGAAATGTTTGGATTCTCTGAGAGAGAGAATTCTGGCGCATTTCGTGACAAGCTCCTTAATTCCCATCATGCACCACACCCTGTTTTATCCTTCCTGAGTCCTAACGCACCCCGGCTTGGTCATGTGACCTGCGTGCCG